GGCTGTCCTCAAACTCACAGAGATCCGCCTGACTCTGCCACCCGAGTCCTGGAATTAAAGGTGTGCACCACCACCGCCTGGCACATACATTGAAAGGATCCTCAGTCAGAGTGACTGGGAATGGTTGAAGAGGTGTGGCCTTGCTGGACAAGTTGTGTCATTGGCAGTGAGCTTTGGGGTTTCAAAATACTCATGCTGGGTGGTGGCACACACCTCTAATTCCAGCATTTGGGAGGCAGAGATAGGTAGATCTCTGTGAATTCAAGGGCAGCCTAGGCTACAGAGTTCTAGGACAACCAGAGAACTGTTACACAGAGAAATCCTATCTAAAATAAAAATGTTCTAGCACCCTGTTCACTGAAACTTGAGTGCTTGCAATTGACTGACACTCTTCTTTTTTTGTTGTATTTTGATTTTTAAGACAGGGAGGGTTTCTCTGTGTAACAGTCCTAGCTGTCCTGGAACTTGTCCAGGCTGGCCTTGAACTCACAGATCCCTCAGGCGACTGACACTCTTCTTAGTCCATCACTGCCACCGAGTTGTTTCCATTGTCACCTGACTGCCACCACCTTCAGCACCCCCACTCCTGCACATAACACCAGATTTATTCCTCTTCTTGCCGTGGTTCAAGCCTCCAGATTCACTCATGTGATCAGGTCTAGATGTTTAAATCCTTATAGGACCTTTCTAGACATCTTTGTGCTTCCCTGCCTCCTTGAACCTTTTTTCTTCCCTTCAGTCTGTTCTTTGTCCCTCAGGAAAGCCAAGAGTAAACAAGGGGAGGCATTACTTTTGTGCCTTTAGTTTTCTGAAATCCCCCTTGCACCTTCTTTTTATCTTCTCTAAAGTACATCTTTGTCTTCGATTTTTCTCTTGGACCCTACATTTATGCCAAAATGACAATATCACTCTTCCTTCAAACAAACCTTCAAGGGGATGGGCATGGTGTCTTCCTTTACTCCTGGCACCCAATAGGCAGAGGCAGGCAGATCTCTGAGCTCCAGACCATCCTGAGGCACATACGAAGTGAGATCCTGTCTCATTTTTTTTTTTTTAAAGAGATGGTGGTGGTGAGATTACTTAGTGGGTAAAGGCATCTGCTGCCAATCCTGAAGATTTGAGAGTTTGATCCCTGGTTCTACATGGTAGATTGAGAGAACCAATTGCTATGAATCATCCTCAAACCTCCACACATGCACTTTGGTACCCCTGCAACACTTACAAAATAAGTAAAAATATAAACTGTGTGTGAGTGTGTGAGAATGTGGTCTGATTCATGTGGAATATGCAACATACTCACACATGTTACAGTGAGAATGAAAACCAGGGTAAAAATGTCAGTCTGGAGCACTGAAGAGGACGAAGAAAAGGGCTTGTAACTGGGTGTGAACTACCCAAGCTAAACAGGTAAGAGGAGGGAATGGGTTCTGGGCTAATGTCTGCAGTCCAACTGCTCCAACAAAACTATTGTGGATTATGTGTAAGGCACTCAATATGCCTGCTTCTAAGGCAGCTAAATAACATGGGGAATCACAAGTAGGTTAGATTTTAAGTACCAAGCTTCTGCTTAGGAGATAAGACTTAGACCACTCCAAAGACAAGGAGCTAAATATGGGGTAACGAAGAAAGACAGGAGCTGTATCTTGGTGGCTATCTATGATGGAGTTCACGCTGCCATAGCAAAGCTACAAGCTGATCCTATAAATGTGACAACAGAGTGCTTAGTATAGCGTGGTAGCACTTGAGACACTAGGTTGGTAGGTAGTAAGGCTGGCCAAATGACTAACATCAATGGAAATCACAGTCAACAACCAACCAAGTACAGACAGAGAGGGGCTCTAGACACACCTAACTGGGCGGGGAGCCCATTATCATCACCCCATTGGGCCAAGCAGACACACACAGAGCATGTGGGTTCTCCATTGGCTGGCCCAGTGATATTCCTGAGAGCTAACCAATCTCAAGCAATTATCTCTACTTTTGTTCAGTTTCTGCTAACAGTCCTATCAAAGTCCTAGAGGAGGAAATTCAGAGGCTTTTCCTTCTCTTAGGATCCCTGACCTCTCTTGGCAGTACCTCAGTTCTCAATTTCTCACTCTTCTGTCACTTTAAAAGACGTTCAATTTTGTTGTGTGTATGGGTGTTTTTGCCTGCACATGTCTCTGTACCACATGAGTGCCTGGCGTCATGGAGTCCAGAAGAGGACCTCAGAGCATTCGGAACTGGAATTACAGGTGGTTATGAGATGCCGTGCGGGTCCTCTAGAAGAGCATGCTCTTGCCTCTGAGCCATCTCTACCGCCCCACTTTTCTGTAATTCTTATAAAGTTTGCTTCTGCTTTGCCTTCCACCACAGGAGTCTGCAGCTCTCGGGCTGACCTTGGGTGACCTTTGAGTGTCCGACAGTTAGAAGCTTGAGCTAAGAAAGGTCCTATTATTCTCAAAAACTCTGCTTCAGCTCCACCATTACCACGCATCTCCTCTCGGGTCTCCTCACACCGTCTCTGTTCCCACTCTTGTCTGCCTTCAGCCCATTCTCCACACAGTACAGCGAGGCCCTCTGAACACAGATCTGGTCATTTCTCTCCTGTGCTCACAGCCTCCCCTGGCTCCCAACGCCTACAAGGTTGCAACCAAGATCCTGAAAATGATCTCCAACCCCTCCAATGTTAAACAGTCCCCGCCTCCACCCTTCTTCACCCCGCCTCCACCCTTCTTCACCCCGCCT